GAGCTTGTGCCACAAGGTGTGGGCCAGTAGCAGACGCTCGTCGCAAACCAGGCATTGCAAATTCCGGAAGGCTTTTTGAACGTTCGTTTCCGTTAACGTCAGGTGCTGGACGTCGGCTACCGCATCAAGATTTCGTGAAAAAAATGTATAATTGATAGAATTCCTGTTGCCTTGACACTCCACGTTATGCAGGTCGCCACCATCGGGCCAATTATTTAAGTCATTATCATCATCATTGACACCCGTTTGGCTGTGGCTCGGTTCTTCCATCGAAGGAAATGCGACAGCGCAACCAAGTTTGTGTCATTCGCGCATGTCTTCACTTGCTTGTCTTTTTGGCTCTTGTCTGAATTATGCTTGACGCCACCCACCCATCGTGCCTGAGTTGTGAGGTACCGATGGAGATAAAAAACGAAGCTACCGATTCTTTACGGTGTTCACAGCAATATGTGTTGTTGAGCGGGCTGTAACTTGTGTTTGTAACTTGTGTGTAAGATATCATGCCTTATCAATCAGCCAAGCACTCCAGACTTTGAGGGGAAAAATATATTTCATTCCTCATCAAAAAGTGGTCACGAAAAAGACGAGCACGGGAACAAAGAACAACCGGAAGAAGGCGCTGACGCCACCTTTGAAGTTGGGAGCGAGGGCTGTACGTGATTTTCAAGGCGACCACGCAATCTAGGCACACGTTGGATTTACAACGAGGTCGTAGTATCAAACGAGAACTGGCACAGTAGCCTATGGGAGGACGGGACGCCAATTTTGGGCGCTTGCCTCTCCACGTCGTGTGTGAGATTTGGCACGTAACTCACCAAGGCCATAGGGCTTTATTAATCCTGCAGTAGGTAACAGGTAAAAGCGAGCCACCGATCAACGTACTCGGTACCCACGCAGTTGTATCTGTCTCCCGTGTACGCAAGCCAGCTATTGTTGCGACGACGCCTGCATTTGACCTTTGACCCTAACCTTTGAACTTTCGTCCTGCCGCTTCATCCCACAGAGAGCAATCGGGGATATCGGACCTTTCCCCCTCTAATAAGCCTTCGCCACCAGATTATCACGCCATGAATACGTGAGAAAGATGAAGGAACAAATTTCACGATAGTAGACTTGTGCATCAACGCGGGCCTGCCTGTTCGATGTCCAAGCTTACTCCTCGCCCTCATCTGTGCATTAATCGCTGACTCTCCTACCTCATGTCCGATATCTAGCGTTTCCCAAAAGAAGTGCCCCGCATACCACAAATGGATGGCTGGGTATTGCGAAAGGATTGTCTCCTCACTGGCGTCGTCAGCGGCATTGTCTTCCTCCTTGCTTTGTTCCTGCTTGTGGTCGTCGTGTCCACCCCCACCCGTGCCGGGAACACCAGCCGTCTTTGTTCCCTCCTGCATTGTGGCCTGACGCTCTTCTCCTCGAGTCTTGGCTTGGTGACCGCCGCCTTGAATCTGGTGGACGCCAATTTTGTCTTTGCATGCCTCGCCACAATCATTGCCGTCTCCCAAGCCGTGGATGGCTACCAGACATGGGAGCGTTATCGCATCGTCTACGAGCATGAGGGACGGCGTCGGCCTCCGCGGCATACTTACATGGCGTATGCCTACATTTGTGTCTTTTTTTGCCTGCCCTTTTTGATCACGTCCGTGTACTGGGCGACTCAAGAGCTGGGCGACGGGGAAGCACAACCATCCTCCCCGTCTGCAAACCCCTTTGCGTACATCCTCTTCTTCCTCTACGCACTCTCCGTCCCCGGCCGCTTGTGGTGGGACTCGAGCTTGGGTTGTGCTTTCATCAACCGGATCTATGAGCTTCGTGTCGCCATTCTGGCGTCCCGGGGGTCGGGGGAAAAAGCATTGGCGTGTCAGCAGGACGAGGTCCTTGTCTCTCTGGCACGACGCGCTCTTGTGTACTTGGGCATCTCCTTCACCGTGAATATCTTAATTCACATCCCTTTACTGGCCTTGATTCCCTTCGTGAACGTGTACACAACGGTCTTCAACCTGTGCTTTGCATTGGCCACGCACTTCTGCTTTAATTGCCGGGGCCCGCCTATCGACGTGCTCGGCTTTCCAGTTCGCGCCGTTTTGATCCTCTCTCGAGTGGTCCGGGATGTGTGGCGTCAGGGAAAGTGTTGGCGACCCAGAGGGGATCGGGCTCGACCGGGGCAGGGAGAGGAGAGGGCAGCAAGGAGGGAGCGTAGGAGTCGCACGGAGGGGCAAGAGGCAGGGAGGGAGCAAGTCTCCCAAGGGGGACGCTCGTCCGACCAGGCATGGGAAGGGATGGAAAGCGAGCCGTTCAGCTCGTTCACGCCGGCGTCGCGCGTCAGGGAGAGAGGGACGGACGCGGCGCACACCCGCAGCATGGGCCTCTCCTTGCTCTCGTCCGGACCCTCCCTGCTCGAGTCGTCGGGAGGTTTCGCGCCATTTTTCCAGGGCCGTGCGGGCCCAGGTCCGTCTTACTCGTCAGGGGCTGGAAATAGACCACAGGAAGGTTGCGGGGTGGAGGTGCTGGCAGACAATGTGGAGGGAGAAAAGCCTAGGGCGCAGGTGCAGCAGGATGGTGGGGTCTAGGTAGTGGCAGGGGAGGGAGCGAAAAGGAGGAGAGCAGAGGGGAAAAGGGGAAAGAAACGAGTTCAGCCCCAGTACGAGGGTGGAAAGGAAGGAAAGGAATGGGGAGGACGGGGCAAGATAGGTTGGCAAAGAAAGTTTAGGTGGCGGGTAGGCGGGGCACGCCAAGGCGAGCACAGCGGAGCAGCAGCCACGAGTGGAAGAAAAAGGACGCGGAGGAGGAAGACGAGAGAAAGCGAGGGTAGGAAAGATGTTGTAAGAATAAAAAAGGGGACCAGGAGCAAAGAAGGGAGGGGAGTGGCGGCCATGAATGGCCTGGATGGAGCTCTGGGCTCTGAACCTCCACGGTCCCCACCGATCAGAAAAGTCAGGACCGCGATAATAACTCTTTTGTCCGGGGGGTTATGCCGTGACCGGTGTACCCTTAGCATTGAGAGGGGTCGGGCAGCCTGCCTCGGGGTGGGGGCGGGCACCAAGTTGTGGAAAAGGGGGGGGAAGTGGGGCACAAGGACGGGAGGGCGAAGGAAGTTGGATCTCGGGAACAAGAGGGGGTATCTTTTGAATGTACGAATACATTCATACGTGTATATAGAATGCATTGGGCTTCACTGCTCGTGAACGCAACGCCATGGCAGACGCGACCTGCCCCGCCATGTGCATATTCAAGCCCAGCGCGCCCTTTTGTACCAAGGATCGTGAGCACGGCAAAGACGATTAGGTGACTGTTGTTTTGTAGATTTGAAAGCAGGGGCGTACCGCGTGCCGGATGTGCGGCGTGGAGCACCCAGGGCTCCGGGCAGTAACAGGCAAAGGCCCGACGGGTTAGAGCGATCGGGCCTGCACGCGAGCCACGCGCCCAAAGCAATAAATATATATATATACGTGAAAGCAACTGATCACGTACACCAGTCATTATTCACGCGGGCATCCAGGGTGCTTTATGGTTGGCTTGGCGCTTGTGACGCGTCTGACTTTTCGCGCCTTTCTCCATCGAGAATCTCCTCCACCCTCTGACCCTTTTTCCTGTGTCCCGCCCACTGCCATTGACGTCACACCTCTCTTGCTCAATTTACTTTTCCAAGGCATCGATTCCTTTCTTTTCCCTCCCTCTCCCTCGTCCTCTCCCTCTTCTTTTCCTTCACCACGCGGCCAGTCCCTCCCTCGTCCCCTAGGTCGTCAGCACTCAACATGACTTTTTATTTCTCTGTGTACAGGCTTCTGACCGACCTCCCGCTTTCCATCGCCTTCCCCATGTACATCAATGCACCAGCACAGCAACATTATCCTTTTCCCCTTCCTGCCCCAAGACCTCCCTCCTCATCCGTCCCTCCCTCCACTCCGGCTCCTGTCCATCGCTTCCTTCACGAAGGAAAAGGCTTCCTCCCCTCCTTTCGTTTCGCCACCGCCTCCTCCTCCCCCTCGCCCTCTCCCTATGAAGTCAAAGGCGCTGCTCGGCTCTCCACTTCCCCAGCCCTCGTCAAGAGCAGCTGGGATGATGGTCCGCGGTTGCATGGGCGGGATCATGCCTCTGCCCATGTGTGACAGGTCGGCTGGCAGGGAGGGTGGGAGGGAGGAGGGGAACGAGGAAGGATTCTG